TATTTATAGCTTGGAAGGCTATGAGGAGGAAGGAAAATCTTGGTTGTGATGGTTGAGGAATGGCTGGGATGATTGCTGGAATGCTTGCAGCAGCCAAAGGGAGAAAGGAAAGTGGTCTTGAGCAACCAAGAGATGTTGGTTGACAGCTGCTGGGATGCTTGTAGCAGTCAAAAGATGGAGGTTGATGGCTGGGATGGCTGATGGAATGCTTGCAACAGCCAAAAAGAGAAAAGAAGATGAGTTCTCATGGTTGTTGAGAAACTTGCAACAACCAAGAGAGGCTGATCTTGGCTGGGCAAATGCCTCCCAATTTATAGAGAGTGAGGGTTTTCCTCTATCTCCAATAGGTAAAGGGAGGTGTTGGAACCAGCTTATTTCCAATGGTTGAAAAGAAGTACTGGGGCATGCTATTTTCTAGTAGATAAAACTAGGCATTGGAAAATGACTATTTCCTATGGGTAAAAGGGAGTGCTGAGATTAGCTTATTTCCAGTGGATAATAGGGAGTGCTGGAAAAGGCTTGTTTCAATTGGGTAAAGCTAGGTATTTGGAAAATGATTATTTCCTATGGATAAAAGGAAATGCTTGGAAAATATCTCATTTGCTTACCCACATTGGAGAACTCCAAGTAATGGGCTTGGACTTTTGGTGCTCCCAAGTAGTTAGCCCAAAGTCTCCATTATCCAAGAGCTTCCGTGGGCCTTGTGGACCTCCGTAACCTTCCACACCACAATCCCTCGTGCAAGCCCCGTAAACCACATGACTTGGATTCATGTAAGCTTGGTAGGTGATTGACATATAAAAATTGTATTATTGGCTTGGCATGGCATGCACACTATTTCTATATTTAATGAATTAATTCCCAAAATACAGCTTGGATTAACGCATAACCAACATTACGTTATATTGGGCTTTAAATGTCTTTCGGGCTTCTCGTGACTTTTTTGGGCCTCAACACCCCCCATTTGGATTCAATTAAAAATACTAGAAAATCAAATTCCCAACAAATCAAAATATGAAAGTGTTAGAGAGGATAGTAGTGAGCGGGGACACGATGTTTCTTTGGGATTTTGATGTAGGTTTGTTTGTTTTCTCTCTCATAGGTGGGACTAAGAAGGAGAAAGAGATCATCCACTCATTTTCGGCAATGGCCGATCGGTCTATCCAAATTGCGATGAAAGAAAAGTTTAGAAACCTAGTTTATTTACTATCATTTGCCCACAGGCCGAAGTGGATAGCCCGAGGCACAATGGGTTAAAGCCCAGCTCGACATGGTTAGACCAGGTCAACTTGACCCATTCTAACGTTTAAAGACTTTTTGTAAGTGAGTGACTTTCATAGAGTTGACAGATTCTTAATGACTTTTAGAGTATCTCCATTGCAAGGTTATAAAATTAGGGATATAAAGCCACTTTTACATCTTGTTTACATATTCTGGAAGTGTAAATTGGTTTTTTTTTCTCCAATGATAAAATGTGATTCGGGGATGTGTCCTTTGGACTACTGGGATGTATACATTGTTGGCATATTGAAATTGATTTGGGCCGTTCATAATTGGACTAATGGAAAAAAGGAAGGGAAGCTTGGCTTTTGAATTTAGTGGGCCCCGGTGAGTTTGGGCTGCATATGTTTTTTATTTCCTCTCTCCTTTTTGACTCTTCTCTCTCTTCCTTTTCAACCATAGAGAGCCCACTTAATTGAGACGTAAAAACAGATGCAATTTTGCATCTATTTTTCAATCTCACAGTGGTTTCCTACATTTACAACAGGATACACCTTTGCATTGCAAGTGTTTTCGGTGGCTAGGGTGTAAATATAGCATACACTCCCTTTTACATCCCCAAGTTAAGTGGCATACTTTCATGTACTTTTATCATAGAGTTTTGTCTACTTCTTTTATATTTATTTTATAAATAGTATTTACCTTTTAATATTTGGGGGTTCTTCGATTTAAGTCCAAAATTCCTAATCGTTATTGGGTTTAGTCCACACCTTTTTTGCTGTAGATTTGGGCCCATTGACTTTTATTAATTTTTTCATGTGTCAATTTTACCTTTTGAGATAAATAAGGAAAGAACAGTAATTGAAAATCCAAATTTATGTATCGATTCTTTCCTTCTAAATAGATTTCATATTTAAAATTTGGAATCCTTCTATTGCTGCCATGACATAAAAGAAGTTCATATAAAACAATGAAAGTAGGAGAATTATTGATGATATCTTCCCAACAAATATTTACCTAACTACTACGTAAATGTGATATAATATACCTAATTATTAGGTAAATATAACATAATGTACATTTATTTTTTATCGAAAAGAAGTAAAATTCCATTAACCGGAAGCATTGGTTACAATAAGGTCATCAAGAATACAATTCATTAGCCACACAGGACCTTCTTCTAACCAATAATAAGGACCTTGTTCATGTAAAGCAAAGCGGGCAATAGCATGAGCCACTTTGTTACACTCCCTAGGTTGAAATTGGACTTCCTTTAAAGAAAACTGCACGAGCAAGTCTCTCACATCATCCATAATGTTGCCGACAGTAGCCCAAATAGTCTCCCCTGAATTAATCATCATAACAGCCTCAGAGGAGTCAGTTTCTATGAGGAGAGGGGAAAAAACCAGAAACTGTAGCAAATAAAACTCATCCATAACATAATGTACCTAAATACTAGGTAAATATAAAACAATGTACCCAATTACTAGGTAAATATAACATAATGTACCTAATACATAAGTAGTATACTCTACTATACCTGATAAATGTAGATTTTAGATCAAATGTGTGGATTTGAGTGATACAACCAATAATCGTAAAATGCCACAACAAAAACATGGGAAAATAGGAAAAATTGGAAAATAATTAACTATCTAGAAACAAATGAATCAAAAATTATGTGGGGGGAAAACACAAAACCCACATGTGTTAATGGTTAATTGCATCTTAATTAAAGATATTAGGTGGGAATGAACTTTACAGCAACAAAAACATGAAGAAAAAAAGTGAGCTAAACAAAATCAAAGGTAAAACAATGAGAGTATATTAGTGAGGAATTGTATTATCAAAGAAGAAAACAAACAAACAAAATCAGTGAATAACAAAAGTTGTGGCAAAGAGTAAAAGAATATTTATGTACTTTGTGTACAAGTTGCCATAGTGCAAGAATACAAAGCCACAACAGAAAGAAAGCCTATGTTCATATAGGAGCATGATTGAAATATAAAAGTTATTTAAAAAATTATAAGAGACATGATTTGTTGCCTTACTTATTACTTCAAGAATATAATAGCTAGTTATTATTACCAAAAAAAAAAAAAATTCTTACTTTATTTAATTTTTAGGGGCATGATGGGAATAAC